AGTAAAACCAACACGAACTCTGGAGTTGCTGAGCAAGAAGGCCGAGAAGAACAACAGTGCCAAGTTGATGCGCCTGAGAGAAATTATTCATGAATTTCCTCCTCATAATCATCCACGTTATCTTAAACAGTGGCGGCTGCATAGAAGGAAACCTTCCACGACAGGGACTCATGGCGTATTTGTAGACTTGCTCAAGCGGGGTCAAGGGTTCAGAACTGCCAGGCGGCCTGGTGTGCTTTTCATTCACCTCTAACGCGAATATGAGCATGTGTTCTTGTGAGGGTGGTTATTTTGGCGTTGAAAGGAAGCCGAAAGGGAGCCACTCTTCGAGGCTTCCCCATTTGGCAACAAACCTTTCCGCAAAAGGAAGGCCCCAGAAGGAATTGCTGGGAGCGGTGCATCAAGGGCCGCAAGGCAGTCATGCGCTGACAAGGGCCACTGGATGCACAGGAACTATCCTCCTGTTTCTCCATTTTCCGCAAAGGGACATGGCGATGCAGTTTAAGAGTTGGAGCCGCCTCGGTGGCCTTACAGGGTCCAATCAAATTCACACCCAACTATTGCAAGTAAACCAACCATGCACCATGGCAAACAACTGAAACTCGTGTAAACCGCCAGACTCGCGGAACCAGCATCACACTGCCCGGCATGGGCGAAGAAATAGCGAAGAGGTGGACTTCAAGTCAGTGGACGTGAACGACAAGGGACGGCCCTCTGCTCCCGTTGTTCGCGGGGCGCCCAGGTTTCACTTGGGTTTCAATGGTCGCCAGGGATCTAAGTCGAATGATGCGCAAGAATCTGCATTCGCAGGGGCCACCCAATCAGAATCCGGGGCGTTTATTAAGCCGTAAACAGAACTGGGTTTAGAGATTTCGCGATTTAAAGACAACCTTTTGGAGGCATTGAATTGGGGCCAGTATTTTGGACATGGAACGAGCGCTAAGCTGCCACAAAACCCACACGAGCCCAACATGTTCGATGTCCTTTGGGGTCTCCTCCAAACTGGTTCTTGGGGTTGATTCAATACGAAGCCGAATCCGAAAATCGGATTTTCTGCGTACCCAGTGGGGACAGTCTTGGAACAATGTCATTTTCATTCCTCACCTGCCGCGATTGGCTGAAGAACCGCGAGGATTTCGGGGGATACAAGTTGGGAAGGCCAGAGCTAGGTTTTTTTCGCTTGGATGGTTCAGAACCAATCTGCAAGATCCTTATGCCTAATCTTCACTTGAGGTGCCCGGATAGGGCCCTGCCTCGAATGATTCCCTGACAATGAAAAAGGTCGAGACGAACCACGCTTCGGGTGCGTTCCTGCGACTGGCGTGAATGTTGATCGACGGGGAAACAACAAATTGAAGACCAAACCAACGCCCAAGTCATTATGAGACAATCGTGTGTGCAATGATTTAGCGCTGACACGTTTCGGGCTAAGGGAGCCTTGGACCCCAAAGCCTAACCATAGGGCTTCAAACCACCGGAGGAAGCTGACTTGATGGACCTCCAAGGAAAGCTTTCCCCTGACCTCTAATTTGGTTTCAGTTCTGTCCCGGGTGTTCCTTTTGTCTTTTGTCCTTTGGTTCTGCAGTCAGTGGGGGCTCCGCTGCTTTTGCTTTGGCCCTGGAAGAATTCCGGATTCTTTGGGAGGATGTTTGACGGGAATGCGGAAGAACCACTTCTAAGAAGCACCCAGGGAGTGAATCTTATGCGCTTCCTGGCAGAGTGCCGCAACAGATTGTCCGAGAGCTAAGGTCTGAAGCACGGGAACAAGTTCATGATCTCAAACGAGTGCGCTCGGCATTAGACAGCGGGCTGTCCTCGACTCTCTTTCGAGAGCCATACCTTCTCCATTCTCAGGGATCATTCTCTTTAGACCATGGTCCACACCCCAAACAAAATGGCCCGCGTCTAAAACGAACGATGGGTGAAGATAAGTTGGGTGCATGTTGTTGTCCCTTTTGGATGGTTTCGAAGGGACACCAAAAGGAAAGCGTACCCATTTTTTGGGCTCCTGTTTTGAAACAGACGCATGTGAAATCGACCCTTTGAATCATTGTAACAGCGCCTCGCTTCCGCTTTCAAGCGAAGGATTCCCCTTGGTTGTCGAATCCAATTTTGTCTGAAAGGATTCGAGACATTTTCGCCGCCCACCCTGAAGGGATGTGAAGGCCATTTAGCCAGTTGGTCTCATTCCATAAACATGCGGCGATCAGCTCTCGAAATCCAGGATGGTCCAGAAGAACGATGAGCCAAAACCCATGGTGGGAACATCAGCAAGTTGGCTGACGGTTTGTGGTTTCCCTTTGGCCCCTGGTTTCCCTGTATATAAATCAATCCCGAGCAAGGGGTTGACTGGTTTTTTGGGGCGGGCAAATGAGCAGGGGGTATCTGCTCTGCCTCAAAACCACGCTCGCAAAGGGATCGCCAGCTCGGCAGGTGTCCATGCAGCCAAGCAATGTACCCATTGTCGGCCCATGATGTATGTGGGATCCGGTAGAATTTGGACCTTGGTGCGCCGGGGAAACCCGTCAACGGGGTCCTTGTGCGGTCAAAACACCTTTTATAACTTGGGGTTGGTTTGGATGGTCATGGACCCTTTTCGGAATTTAGACCACCAAACGAGGGGATTCCTTAGGGATCGATGACCATGAGAGGAGTTTTGACCATCCCTGGCTCGTGGCTCGTTTTCCAGATCGAATCTCAGGGTGTTGCTCTCCAAACCAGCAAAGCCGGCGGAAGCAGGCTACCCCGAAATGGTACCTGGAAGATAAGTTTCCCTTTTCCTGGGCTGATCCAATTTGTCAACTCACTCCGTGAGGTCCTGGACTTTAAACTTTTTGGGAAGGCAATTTTAGTGGTACAAAGGGCCAACCCTCTTAGGAAGTGAGTCAAGGTCACAAAAGGTGAACCTTGTGTTTTTCGGTCCGACAAGGGCAAGTGAGAATAAGATCCGCAGGACAAACACCCATGCCAGAGTTGGTGTGATCCGGCTCCCCCAAGATGGGGCCCCAAATCCATGCAGGGGCAAAGGCAAGGAATCCAGACCGACCGACCGACCGACCGACCGTGGCTATGGGAAGAAAGACCATATTTTTGTTGGTCTCTGATTTTGAAAAGGACGTCCCCCAACACAAACAATAGCACATGATAAGGCGTCAATTGAAATTGGCATTGGACGCGCAATCGGGATTGGGGGATAGGAGCTCTTAAAATAGAAGCCTAAGTTGGTTGGTGTCCCTTTGGTTTCCTTTTAACCCCCCCCGAAAAGAAAAGTGCCCTAAAAAGGACACACCCACATTCCCCGAGCCAAAAGGTGGTGTAAAGGCGGCCCACCCCATCTCTTAACAAGTTCACTTCAAGAAACTCGATCGAGCAACCATGGTTCAGCTTACTTGCGATGTGTAGGGCAACCGTACTCCCCAAACTAAATTTTGAGAACAGGCCCCTGAACCCAAGCACTTTCAGTTGGACCCAGGGCGCTTTGTGCCCGTTTTCCTTCCGCCAGGTTCATTCTGGTCGCCAAGGTCAAAAGCGAGGAGACGGGAGCACAGAGCGGCTCACTCCCCGAGTTCATGGACTTTGAACACTTTTTGGTAGGACCATTTTAGTGGCAAACAACAACTCAGTTTTTTTTGGCCAGTCCACGCCGAAAGTGAGGAGAGTCAGAAAAGGCGGAGGACACATCATTTCAGCGCCTACCCCAATGGGCAGTTTTAGTCACTAAAACTTTTAGTTGGCCACTTGCCAGTTTCCAGCCATGGCCGTAGACTTCTAGGGGGCTAACAATTTGCAGCGCCTTCAGCTACGCGGTGCTGTCAGGCGGAGAAACGTGGGTCTTGCCCGCCTTTCCTATCCTTTGGGGAGCTTCAAGTGGGTGTGTCCTTTTTTTTTGGATACCTCTTTCTTGGTGTGTGGTTTCAAAGGGAAACCAGGATGAAAACCACCAGCTAAAGAAGGACACCCAAGTGGGATGCTCCAGGACAGCGGGCAACTTTTCAACCTTTCAGAAGGCAGGAAAGGCGATGGAGTTCAGAAATCCAAAGCACAGCCTTGGTGGTTTCCTGGACGTATCCTTCCTTTTCCATCTGCGTTTCAGAATATGTGTTATTTCCTCCTGTTAGAGGGAATCTATCACTCCTGGACATATAGTCTTTGGTGCATTTTGCTTGGATGTTTGGACTTTAACATTTTGCCAACGAATAGGTTTTCCATCAAACCACTAAAAGTTATTTTTTTAGCAGGGGAGAAGAGGGGCAACCGAGTTATTTTTCCCAGGGGTGAAGCAAGGGAACTCCGCGGAAGCGAAGCTGGGGAGTTTTTGTGGAGAGGAGAAGCAGACTGTGAACCTCATGGTCTCCAGCGACGGTGCCACTACTTGGAAGGCCTGGGCCAGAGAAAGCGACTAGCAGGGCTCCATCGTTGTTTATCCCAAGGGTAGCCTTAAAATTCAAGTATAAAGTATAAACCTTTGGTAGTTTGGATTGGTTTGGATTTGGATTTGAAGCCCTGGTTTTTGAGGATCAAGGGCCCAAGCAATTCTGCTTGTGGGCGGGCCCAAGTTGATTTTTCAGGGTTTCCCAACATTTCTGTTTCACGGCGTGTCACAGTTTCTGGGGGTGGCCCAAAGCTTCGATGGGGTATCCCAAAAATTATGTTGAAGAGTGTCATATTTTTTGTTGGGTGCCAACAGTATGCGAGCCCTATTATGGCATGCACTCCCACTGAAAACGGCATTGCTGCGCGTCGGACAGTTTGGGCACTTAAATCTTGGCAACCTACCTCTTTCCCCCTTTTGAGGGAAACGGAATCCCAAAAAAGTCCAGTTGTGGGCAAATGTTCAGCATCACTTGGCGCCAAAATTTAAGGCGAGTTTCCCTCCTGAGGTGATGCTGTTCGAGGGTTCCAAACCATGGCAGGGCAGGTGGTCAGGGCCAAAGCTCAGCTGGGGTCCTCGTGGCAAGGGGTTTCCTGTTAAAACCCAAGGGTACTCAACGCGCGAACCAATGGGTGTGTCATAAAACATGGGAATTGGAACACCCCAAAACAGAAAACTTCGGACTTTCGCAAGGTGGCCTCTAAAAGATGAACAACACCCAAATCTAGAGGGATGGATTCCTTTTTCTACTCGTGGTTGGTGGGTGGAGCTAGTAGGCATACCACGGCCTTTCTATTCTACTCTGAGAAAGGGTCGCTCATGAGAGGACAAACCGAAAGAAAGTTTAGGGGTCACCACGGCACAGCGGCTCATATAGATGCACAAAGCGCAAGTGGCAGCGCAGGCGACCTCACATGGCAGCCAGGATTCCTTTTCCATGTTTCAAACCCAGGCGGGGGATGACCTGACCCCGCCTCGTCGCCTCGAGGGGGCCTTGCTCCCCTCCGGCATGGGCGAGCTGGAGGAGAAGTGGCCCGAAGCCCCGGGTGCCAAGGCAGCTATCGGTTGCCGCCCAGGGAACAGGAGCTTCGCTTGACTATTGGGCAACGGATCTTTAGACTTTGACTTTCTGGTTGAAATCAAGTTGTGTTTTCCACCAACCCCCCAAAAGGTTAAAAACTTTTTGCAGGGGGGTCAACAGCAATCAAGTTCAGTTGGTAGGTGTCTTTTAGGTCGCAACCTGTAAGCTTCCAACAATGGGACCCCTGATTTTCAAGAAACGAGAGACTCTCTGTGTGTGGGATGCTTGAAATGGATATCAAAGGAAACCCACCAGATTTGGGTCTGGCGCACAACTAAGGAGATCAAAAACTAGTCTTGGGTGTCCAAACGTCGGGCCGAGCCTAGCAACACAATGGGCTTGGTCTCCAACTAGGATCTCCTTCTTTGAGGTTAAACAAAGGGAAACTCTTACCCCCTGAGCTCCTGGACTTTGTGCTTGTTGGGAAAACCATTTTAGAGGCAACAGCAAGTTTTGACTTTTTTTGGCCATTCAGAAAGTGAGAGCCACCCATGTCGGGGCTTTCCCTCATTTAGCACACACACACAGACCAATCCGCTCATCTGGGAATTCTTCGAAACGAGTTGGAACATGGGCATCCTACGTCAGCTTGGTTCAACCCAGATATGCGACTTTCTTTGTTGAAGGGGAGGTTCCCTGGAAAAAATCCATCGATCTGTCGCAAGGACAGGCTTAGATCCCCTCCAAATGAATTGGGTTTGCTTCCAGGACCGATTGTATGGAAATGGAAAGGGGGGGGTTTACGTGGCTTGGAGGTAGCCTCAATAAAGGAGCCCCCCACACACATCTTCCGTGGTACGTTTTTGCCCGTGGTGTCAGACTGGCAAGCCAGGGTCTTCAAGGCACGTGGATGCAGGCACTTTCACAAAGAGGCTAGCAGCCCGGTGTAGATGATGATCAATGGTCACATGTGCCAGAGAAGCGCGAGTCGGCCAACATGCGAGGGGCATCATTGCAATTAGCAACATGCAAAGTGTTCAAAAGTGGCCCAGTTTTGACGACGAGATAACATTTGCTGGGCGTTATTCCTGTTTCGGCCCAAACAATTCGATTATTTTTACCAACTTATGTTTTTGCCCAGCCCCCTTTTGAAACCACCAAACAAGTTCATTTTGAGAACCGCCACTTGTAATCTGGGCCTTTTGCACACGAAACACATTCAATACAGTGACATCCTCAAAAGTTGACCTCCAAATAGTTCGAAGGCGTTTCACGCGTCCCCCTAAAAGGACACATGAAACGTCGAGCGGGTCCCGAATGACACTTCACTTCAGTCCCAGTTCGGTCTTTGGGTCTTGGGGAGCCTTCTTGCGAGGCCAGAAAAAGCCCACACGGCGGGAGAAACACGGGATACAAAGCTGAAACCCCAACACCTCCCCCTCTCCCCGGGTTTGCACAACCAGAGATTCATGTTCCACTCGACGGGATCTGACCCTTGGGTTTCTTATCCTTTTGGCCGTTGAGTCAGGGTCGCAAAGCGTGATCACCTTGGTTTCTGGGTCCAAGGGCAAGTGAGGGAATCTTCACCCCGGATAAATTTCTCGCCTCCTACTACAAGAAAGGGGCGTTCCCTCGAAAGTGGGCCCATTTCCACATGAAGACCGTAGGTACACCATCGTGGATACCTCCGAGGGAGCCGTGCTCCTTCACCTGAACTCCGATGCGGAGAAACTGCCGGGGTGGGGGGGGCACCAGGCTGGTTTTCTTGGGGGGTGCCAGGCATACTGGTCACCGCACTTTTGCTTTTGGCAGCGTTGGCGTTTAGAGTTGCTTTTAGAATGACATACTCTACTCAAAGTCTACAGGTTCAGCAAGGAACCAACAAACCACCAGGTGGGGAGCACACCCAGAGGAAGCCATTTCTTCATCCCCATATTCTGACACATATCCAAAAAAAACAAAAAACAACCAACTTGGCTTTGAAGGCCTGCTGCACCAATGACCAAGTGCAACAGAGGGCATTCTCACGAGCTCGTTTTCCCCCGCGTCCGTCACCGGTAACTTTGACTTCCCCTTTGACCCGGATTCATATGAGAATCCCCTTTGTAAAGTCAGCCAACAGGGGATTGCTGACACGTGGGTGACATGGGTGTGTTTTTTTGCGGGTGCTCTTTGTGAGTCGGTTTAAAGGGAAAACAAAAGGACACCTTCTTTTGGAATCCCCATGGAGGGCCACTTCACCCTGCGCTGCTCAATCGCTTAAACTAAACATGTTTCCAAAGGGCCGGCCCAACTCTGTTTGGGTGCTAAATCGCCCACAACCGTTGCTTTATCCAAAAGGATACCAAAAGGGGATGGCTAATTAATCTTCATGAAATTTAGCTTGTTGCTTTCGTTAGAACACATACAAAGACAATCCCCCCCCCCCAATTTAACCCCCAGGCAACCGCCCGTCTGCTGCTTCTGCCCCTTCCAACTCTTCGACCGCCCGCCGCCGTCGCAGGAGGAGAAGGACACGGGGCGCGTCTTCGTGTCGGACAGCGAGGGCTACAAGTGCGCCCGCGTCGCCGGCGCATGCGAGCGCTCGCGGAAGGGGCGGGTCCTTCAGGTGGTTGGCTTCCGTTTGGTTTCCCGCAAACTTCAACAAAGGGACCCCGTTTTTGAGCAACACCCAACTGGGTTTGTGTGTGAGTGTCCTTGTTTGGAGGGTTCTCTTTTTGGATTGTTTGAAAGGGCAGCGTGTGCCCTCGAGGGTTCCCTTTTCCCAATTGGCGTTTCGCCACTATCGTGGGGAGCCAGAGTTTCTTGCCTGTAGGGTTTACCATGGATGGTTTTTTCTTTGCGACCTACTATAGTGGCTTGCCTGAATCACTGGGTTTCTTGGATGGTTGGGGAAATCAGGCGGCAACCGCCATGTTCAGTGCTTCCCGGAGACCGCTGTCAAAAGGTTTCCAACAGTTAAGAGATATACGACATGCAGATATAACGGAGATTGATCATCCTACATGGTTATGGCAAAAAACGAAAGAACTAAAATTGCACAAGTTTTAGTCTTCGTTTCCATTTGCCAGGCCATGTTGGGTACATTTTTTGGGGCAACAGCCACGAGGCGGCTTGGAGGCCCCGGCATTTGTCATTACTACTCAAACCACAAGGGCACCATCCCACGCTTTTGAGGGGCTGATATTTGAAGATGTTTAAGGGGAAGCTATCTCCAGCAGGGGGGACCAACAGCCTTTTGGCGAGGCTGAGAGGAATGGGCGCCATCATGCAAGGGTTGTCTGAGTGCTTCACGGGCAAAACTCTTACGATGGCTTGCAAGCTTAAAAAGAGGCCTTGGTATGATGTTTGTTTGGCAGCATCGGACTTTCTGCGGGTCAAGGGCCAACCAGCACAGATAGCAGTTTTCCATGGGTCCCCAGACATCCGGCGGCTTGCAACTGATGCAGAGCCGACTCGCAAGGAAAGCCATTGCAGCCGCCCAAATAGGGCCATGAAGAACCCATAGCTCCGCTTGCGAGTCAGCTCTGAATCACTATGGGTTTGTCTCAAATAGGGGCGCCGCAAAATTGGTGGTGTCCCTCTTGTTTTCCCTTACACTGGCCCCAAACAGGGTACCCTCAACAAAAATACAGACCTGTATTGGACACATGAATACTTTTCCATGGGCTTTGAGTTGGAGTGGTGCCATGACTGGTTTCAGAAGTCTCGAAGTTCACTCTTTCCAACAATCATGGAAGTGGACGATCGGAGGGTTTGGAAGACTGCAGTCCTCTGGAAATGCCCACTTCCATGACGGTTGCAAGAAGGATATCAATTCCAACTGACAAAGGAGGCATATGGTTTTGTCATGAACCACCCGGCAAAACAAAGCACTCGGGTTTCCCACCCCAAAAAGGTGCCTTAAAGAAAACACGCCCACACACACCAACAACAAGGTAGGATTTTGCCACGGGAGGTACTCCCAGTCCCTGCTCCACAATGTGCGCTCCGCCACGGGTGAGGTCGAGCTCGACAAGGCCTATGGCCCATGTGCACGGCACAGCCCACATGGGCAATGCAAGTGGGTCATGCTACTTGCATGAATTGGGGCTATGGTAGATTTCAGACCCATGTCAGTAGAACCAAATGTCATTGGGTTTTGGACGCTGCTCATGCAATCTTCTCTGCGACAATTGTGGCTTTTCTTTGGTTTCTCCTTAGCCCAAACTGACACCAGGCTACCGAGCGTGAAAAGACCAGGGTTTGAAAACAGAAGTTTGAATCGCCCTGAGGCAAGGATCTATCTTTCTGGCGCCAAAGACCAAAGGGCCAACTGTTGTGACCGACCTTGGTCGTTGGTCGTTAAAGCTTTGGACCTCCCTGAGTTCCTGGACTTCAGTCATTTTTTGGGGCAAGACCATGTTGGTGGCAAGCAAGAAGTTTAGACTTTCGGCCCATTCCACTCATTGGGAAATACAAGACGCCAGGGGTGCCACGGCACTCTGGGCAGGTCGTGAGCCTCAACGGGGTTTACCTGGCCAACGTGGTGGCCCGAAAGCTCAGGCTGGCCAGGCGCACACCAAACCCTTCGAATAGGTTGGTTTACAAAAGGTTCCTTTTTGTCAAGGTTTGTTTTTTTTTGGGGGAGGGGAGGGGAGGGGAGGGGGAGGGGTTGTTTGGTTCCCATTTGGGATTCAATTGGGGTTTCCGCTTGGGGGGGGTGCTTTGTTTGGGGGTTTTGTTTGGTTCCCAGGAGGGTTCCCCTTTGGGTTTTCTTTGTTCCCCAACCGCGAGGCTATGTCTCGACTCCGCGGTTTGGGGCAGCTTTCAGGGAGGGTTCCGGACAGAGTCACAATCTACGAGTGAATTCGGGCCGCAGCCCCTGAAATGCTGGAAAGCAAATTCTGGTTTCAACCCCCATTGAAAGAATACTTAGCCCAATTTAGATGACAAAGCTCAGGCAAGTTCTTGTGGTTGTATCAAGCCCCGTTGTTTTAATTGTTTGATCCCCAGGGAAAGCCTTCGGGTCAGATTGTGGGCCTTGGGTTTCCTAGGCTGATGGCTCAGATCTGCTCATGTGGTGTGTCATGTGTCCTTTTCAGGGACCAAAAATGGAGCTCTTCCTCTTTGCTGCCCGTAAAAATCAGACTACTCTGCCGAGTCATCCCACAACACTGGCCTCCCAACATGGCAGGGACAGGTCCCTTGGGAGGCACCACAATATGAGATTCGGTCGTATTTTGATTCTTTACCAGGTTTTGGGTAGATCCCTTGAGTGCCAGGTTTGGACATGGTGGGCGAACCCTTAACTTCCCACAAATCCAAGGGAGTCCTAAATTTCCATGTCCTCTTGGGGAACCTGCGGAAGACTTTGACGGCCCCGAAGTTTCCGAGGCGAGCGCGGACATTGACCCGAGCTACGAGAAGGCCGTAAGCTTTGGGCGGGTTGAGAACAGATCTTCTCGCGGGCCATGCCCAAAAGGAATCCCAGCATTTAATTAACCCCTGTTCATGATCCTCACATCTGGCGCAGTATTGTTGACCTCAGACCAGTCAAAAGGAAGACCCAACAAAATCCGGGGTTCCCATTTTAGTGAAGAACATGTCTATTCTGAGGGCTTCCCCTGGCTGGTAGGGTCCTCCCGGCTGAATCCCAAAGAACCTTATGCCTGACCTCTGGTGAATTCACCGGGAGCTTCGGACTCTCGGAAGCCTTCGGAAGCCTTCGGAAGGCGAAGCAGGCGGCGGCGGAGACCATGGAGCAAGATGCCTCCGAGGGCTCCTCCGTGGCTCGGACTTGAGACGGGTGAGGACGGATGGCGAGCGATGGACGGGTGGCGGGTGAACAGAACCAGGGGTGTTTCTGGATACATATCTATATATATAGTGTAGTTCCCTTTGCGGGTTTTGAAGGGAACCCATTTTTTCACGATTGGACATATCATATATATCTATATATTCATAAATATTTATATGTATTCCGATTTTTGCCAGGGGACTTAAGCAAATGGAGGTGAACTTCGGAGTAATGACTCCAAAGGAGGACCCTAGTCAGAGGAACCACTAAGAATAGATATGTATTTTTCCTGGCAAGGGGAACCTCCCCGAATTAGTACGGTCCTCCGGATTAATCTGAAACATTAGACGCGTTATCTCTCTCTTTTTTTTTTTAAGGGATCGAAATCCTGGCCACCGTGAAAGCACGATGGGCTGGTTTCTTCACCATGCCTCAGTCTTTTTTGGGCGGGCTTTGGTGTAGCGGGCTTTGGCGCAAATCAGTGATGGGCATAGAACCACCTTTGTTGACCATGGAATTTCATCCAGATTTCTGTCGGTTGAGACCTTGGGAGCTGGCACAATTCCTTCGGAGTGAGTAATGGGACACGAAGGACCCCCTCATCAATCAGGAGTTGACAAAGTAATCCTGGTTCTCATAGGGCAACCTGCTTAGCCGACATCCTCTTCATGACGTCAGTTTAGACGCAACACGGCCACTCAACCCTTGAGAGGAAACCTGGAGTTCCTTTCAAAGGATTGGGACGCCCCAACCTAGTTTGCCATAGCCGGGAGGGGGGCTTCGGTGCTGTTGAGAGGTGGACCGACGGCATGGGCGCGGCTTCTCCACCAAGCCGGGCAAGTCGGGGAAGGAGCCTTCAGAAAATCCGACTCTCCGAGACCTTTGCTGCGCGCCAAACAACCATTGGCGCACTTGCTGAGTTCCTGGACTTTCTACTTTTTGGGAAGACCAGTTTGTATATGTTAGCGGCAAGTAGAAAGTTTGGACCTTTTTTTTCTCGGCCATCCACTCGGGAAGCGAGTTGGCCATTTTAGTAGCCCGTTGAGGCAGGCACAGCGCTAGGACGCTCTGATGGCCAAAAAAAAGAGAGAAGTTCTACTATCTGTTATGAGGGTTGAGATGTTAGCAGCCATCTTTGGAGGAGGTTCCACCATTTTTTCATTGTTTGGGGTGGAGGGTGTCCTTTTTTGTCTTGGTGGAGGTTCCCTTTAAAATCAACTACCACAATACAAACAATCCCACAGCACTCCGCGGTCAGTCTCCGGAGCTGCACGACAGAGGTCTCAAAATAGGCAAAACCAAGCCTCTGGTTTCGTGTTTAATGTTCCTTGAAACCAACCCCACAGAAGGGTATCCCCCCCCCAAAAAAAAACAACAACTCGCCCATAATTGGCCTTGAGCTGGGCCATGGAAGACGCTCCAGGGAGATTCAGACTTGCGTTTATTAGTGGGAAACGAAAAGGAAGCCACCCATTTTGAAGGGTCGCCCTATTTTTAGACAAACCCGATTGGTCTTTTAGACGTTTTGCGTTTGGAGGGATTTAGGACAAATCCGAGCAAAAAGAAAGTCGATCACTCTTAGCAAGGGATCGACGAACCGCGAAGAAAAGGCCAGGGTTCGCTTACCAAAGGGAATTGACACGCTTCACCAGGGGTGTATACTTTGAACATCGCTTAGTTGGGAGCCTCCTATAGGTGGTTCAGACCAGCTCTCTGGACATGTGTGGTTCCTTAGAGTTGATAGACTGTTTTCGTTTGGAGTTGGATTTCTGACATCAAACCTCTTTTCTTTTGGCAGGGGATCACACCAGTAAAGTGTCCTCAAAGTTGCTCTCCAAATGGTTCAAAGGAAGGCCCCAAAGTAGCTTGGCAATCCCCGCAAACTTACGTACCCGAACGGGGATGTTTTCAACTTGCACTTCGCTCTTTGAGCTTGGCGCAATTTGCGGTAGTCGCTTATGGGACTGGCTCGAGAATGTGTGGCTCGTCACTCAAGTTCTAGTCTTTGTTTTGATTGACCAGGTTGCCGTTTCGGGTTCTTTTTTGGAGCCACAGCTGTGTCATAGTGGAGCCTTTAAGACTGGTTGGCCTCCCTGTGCAGCTCCAATCTTGGAAGCATTTGTTTGACCCTTTTGGCTGAGCCCGTTTCCTTGGCTGCGATTGGGGTAGACCTTGGACGATAGACCAACCCCGGAATCCAGAAAATTCAATCCAGCTTTTGCCCCTCCTCCCTCCCCCCACACCCGGTGAATGGGTTGTGTTTCTCCTCCCGCCCTTCGAGTGCATGTTTTTCGGCTATTGATTTCGGGAGGGCCGCTGGCGCCGGCCAGGAGGAGCGGACCATCCGAACCGTGATTTCCTTCGACAAGGCCGGCAGATGAGTTTTTTTCTCTCTCTCTCTCTATCTCTCCCCCTCTCCCTTCCACTCTGCTCTGCGCGCGTGCTTGTTTGATTTGCTTTCTTGGTTTGTTTCATGTTGTTTTGTTTTGTTGTGCTCTGCTTTGCTTTGCTTTGCTTGCCTGCCTGCCTGCCTGCTTGGTTGCTTGCTTGCTTGCTTGCTTGCTTGCTTGCTTGCTTGCTGGCTGGCTGGCTGGCTGGCTGATTGACTTTCTTTCTTAATTTATTGCTTTCTTTCTTGCTGTCTTTCTTTCTTTCTTTCTTTCTTTCGTGCCTAGGTGCCTGGGTGCCTGGGTGCGTGAGTGGGTGGAGAGGGGGGAGGTTCTTGCTCTCAGGATCCTCGGTGAGCTACTCAACCCCATGTGGGACATACCCTTCTGTCCACTTCCATTTCTTTGATATATATATATATATACATACATACATACATATGCTATTTGTGTTCTCCACGATTGGTTTCAAAGGGAATGTGTCACTACAGGAAAGATGTTTGTTTCTGCCAGAGGACCTAAGCAAATGGAGGGCTGCTAAGACGGAACCTGACTGAGGGGTCAATGGAAGATTTGCCCTCTGGATTCCATGTGAGTGCACAGAACTGCACCTCGAATTCCGGCTCCCAACTCCCCCACACAGCAAATCACTCCCACAATGCTGTGGGCCTATGGTTTTCCAGTTGGATCCTTTTTGTTGTTTATCTGGGTTCTAAGTAAACTACATAGTAGTTGAGTTCGGAAAATGCCCGAAAGCCAACTGGGCATGAGCACCCACTTTCTTTCCAATCCAAAAGGAACCTAGTCTGAAATACGTCAGCCTCCATTGTTGGAGGGCACTTGTGATATTTTTCCAGACCCCTCATTAACACCCAAGCAGTCAACGACGCCCCGGGCGCAACAGCCGACGCATTGGCATCGGCCAGGGGGGCTCCTGGAGGTACTTGAAACCGCCCCGGGTGAACAGCCCATGCCTCGACCTGGTTTTGCAGTCTCCGATCCCAACTTATATTGAATTTTAGGGCAGTCTATCTATGAAGAATCAACACATACTTTCGGTGTGCCCCTTTTTTTGTGGGCCAAGAGTTCATCAGAAACCCTAGGAACTTTCCAAACGGCCTTGCCGTTTGGCGAAAGATGGAATGTCACATCTTCTCCACTTCGAGGGGTTCTACCTGGCTGAAACGGAACTCGGAGCAAAGAAAAGGGCACCGAAAGCAAACGGAACCCATAGACTTGGTGGAGACCCCGGCCGTTTTCTTGGACCAACAAACCACGGAGCGGCTTTTTTGAGATGCCTAGTGTACTGACGGAACATATGTTGTAAGGCTGACTCCTATGAGGTGTGGTCCACATTTGTCTAGAGATCATTTGGCAGAGATATGGGGGAACTTACGTTCATGTATTAATACAAAAACCAAAGACGAGCCCCAATTTGTCCATGTCGCTTTGCTGAAACCTGCGTAATTTCGATCTGGCCCTATGAAACAGAATCTGTGGCTGATTCCAGCATATGGTGCCACTGGCAATAAGATATGACTCACAATGTTATTGATCGTTTGCAATTGTTTTTGGGAAGAACGGGAAGGCGGTGACCAAAGTACCGACAAAGACACGGGGTGAAGTACTATGGCCCACACAAGGAGTTTGACACCGACAACGAATCTGCCAATTTCTGATGTTTGGTTTCTTTCTGGTTTCTCTTTAAAACCAACCAACAGCGGGTTCCCCCGAAAAACACACCTGTTCAGAGCCCACTGATTAAGGTCCTGAGACATTTTCCCCGGGGCCGAAGACCAAGACAGCGCGAGTTGGGTTGATTCTAAGCTTACGTCGACTTTCCACGTAGACTTAACCCCCAAAAATGGGGAAGCCCTGGCTTTAGGTGGCTTTGGGAGAAGCCAAGAGCGGAACCCTGCTGAATCAGTATTGCTGTGCCGCACTTAGATGGTCTGGGACTTAGCTAAGGGGTAGCGGCTGGCAATCCAGCAAGGCCGTGGTTGTAAGTCCCCGTTCGACGGGGTTATTTGTTTGGCCCATTTAAGGTGAGTTCCCTTTGTGAGGGGACATGTTATACAGAATCTAGCCCAGACCATCCAAGCGGTCCCCAGTGACGGCCACGCGCATCCACACGCGCTTTTCGTATTTTTGCTGAGGCCAGGGTCAGCAATACGCCTGCATCGGCAAGCCCCTGCAGGAGAATCTGCCGAGTCGCTATGAACGACTGGACGCCCCATTTGTCGAGCGCCCCCGCCCTTTTATGGGGCCCTAAAATGGACTGGGACGTCATATGAGCTATGTGTTTTTTTGTTTTTTCCTTCGTGGGGTTGGACACAAACCGTAACGCCTACGTTTGGGCCCGTCCAAAAGTCTCCTTCACCGGCTGAATTAGAGGATCCCCTTTGTAAAGCTGGTGGGTTTTGGATAGAAGCCTGATGCCCCTCCCCCCTCCCCCCACCAGGGTGCCACGTCTGGGTTGGCAAAACACGGTAGTCCCAAACACCAAAAGAGAAAGTGGAGGTCAAGAACACTGTAATCGAACATCGGTGGTTGGAGGGTGCTAGGGTCAACAAAGCAGGTTCGAGCTTTGAGAAGGGGCCAGTTGTCCACCCCCAGATCAGTTTTTTTCACCCGCATGCCTGTTAAAGTGATCGGCCCAAAAAAAACTGGTTGGGGAGACAATTGGGTCACCTTTCAACATGCAGCGGTCCCCTTTCCACATGTTGGACCACTTATGTGGAGTTTCCTTCAAATGTGCCGGGAGCCAATGCCATGGCATCGCGTTTTGGACTGCCCACCCGTCCTAAGCGGCAGTTGCATTCATGCCATCAACCCAAGAAGTGAGTTGATGTTTAAAGAGCAAATATGTTCAATATCCAGTTCGCATTCGCTAGTTTGTTTAGCTCAGCATTCGGGCTTTGTCCAAAACTGCCTGGTTGGCGTGGGATTTTGTGGTCGGATTCCTTGGTTTCCCTTTGAAACCGCTCCAAAACGGGGGGACATTTTGAGGGCCGATGCCAGGACTGTGCGCTGCACCTGCACGGGACCTCCTCCTGGGACCTGTATGCGCCGTTCTACTCCAGCGGGCGACCGAGAAAAAACTGGTCGACAATAGGGGTGCATGTGGGGCGCCAATACGGGTCGAGGCAGGATCTTCCATGTGCTTAAGAATATGTTGTGATTGTCATTTGTTGGTTTTAACGGGAATCCATCACTATAGAATATTTATATTTTGTCCAGGTGACTCAAGTAACTGGAGGTGACTCTTTTTGAGGTTGCCTTTCTCCTTGGTTTCAAAATGAAGCCAAGAGGGAAACTTGTACCTGCTGATGCTTGCATATGATTTCCGTCAACCCGACTTACACACCCTATCTTTTTCCACAGCAAGGCTCCGCGTCCCAACCAACCCCAACAGGGAAGTGTGTGCGTGTGTGTTTGTGTGTGTGTGTCCTTTTCTAGGGAACCCCTTTTCGGTTCAAGATTAAAAGGAAACGAAAAGAACAACCACACACGTTTGGGGACACCAAACAAACAATACACCCATGTGTGTGTGTGTAAGTAGCAAAGTAATCCGCAATGCTTATTGCAAGAATAAGTAAGTGTCCCAGGGCCAGGCCGCGTCAGATGGCACCCCCTCAAATCGGCCAAAGAAGGTCACTGCGCCGTTGGCGAGGGCGGGGGTGGGGGGGAGATTACTGGTGGATCCAGATACCATCTCAGGGGAGAAAGCAAACGTTGGGGCCGTTGGAATGGTTTTAAACACCTCCTTTTGGCCCCAAAAAGGGGTCCCAAAGGGGGTGTGTGTCTCAAAATAGGAGTACCCGCAAATGATGGCTTTCCCTTTGCCTTTGAACCCCAAAAGGTACTATCAACAAAAACACATGGTCCATATTTGTTGGGTTTGCCGGGTCTGTGTGTGTTTTTCGAGCCTTTCCAGGTTGGTTTCATGGGAAATCATCAAAAACACATCCTTTTTTGGAGCGGGGAGTAACCAGCAGAACCGTTGAACCGCTGAGGTGAGAACTGCGTAGGGCGCGGGGCTCGGCTCTGCAGCAATCCGAGCGAAGGGACTCCAAGAAACGTCAAGTCCAGTGCCCAGTTGTCCCGATTCTTCGCTTAGCTACCAAATGGTGCGTCGTTTTTTGATGGTACCCATGTTGGGATAACCGGAAAAGCACCAATGTTGAGGGTCCCAAACCAAAAAGAGACGAACTCGAATAGGAATCGGTTTCTAGGTTGGTTTCGTTTTGTTTGAGCATCGACCATAAATTTGCCAACAAGGCAGGGTGGGATGCCCACAGGTACCATCAGTCATGTTCCCCTGTTGGTTGTACAGGACATCTTTCACTACATGTTTTTTTTGTTCGAGAAGACTTAACGCAAATGGAGGTCATACTTTAGACGGCACCCTTTTCAGCTTGTCTTAGTTGGAAACAGGCAAAGTTTGGGGTTGACACATACCCAGCTGAAGCAAGAATGAGGCAGATTAGACACTTCCTTAGGAAACTGCGGTTGCAAATCAATTTCCTGAGGACGCGACTCAGTTTGCCAAGAGTTGGCCTCTAGTGGGAAAGAACTCGCGGGGTTCCTTTGGCACCACGCGCGTGCGCTCGCGTGCGCATGTTTGCCTGTGCTTGTCCATTGCAAGTGTCGCAGGATCATCATGGGTACTGGCAACGTCGGCTCATCCTTGAGGCGGGACAGCTGTGAGTCTCTGACAATATGATAGGTAATCTGCTCTTGGTTTGGGGAGTTCATGGGCCACCCAAAGTTCCTGCAACGCCTAGGGGGCCACAAGTTTCTTCGTGGCCACAATTCTGTGCGTCGCTCATATGTTGCCAGGCATGGCAGAGTGGGGTTATTTTGAGACAAACATGGTAAACAAAGTATGGGCCATAGTCTGAAGATCATTTTTGCGTACGCCAGATTTGGGCTGATGCAAATGAGCCACTGGTCATTTTGCGATCCACGAACCAAAGGATCGTGAAAACATGTCCGGGGCTTTCCAAGTTTCAGCCATTGACCTTCGGAAGCCGTGTGGGCCATCAAAAGACCCTGGACTTGGGGGCTTAGTAAATTAGTATGAGTTCAGCCACTTGAGTTACGCGCTAATAATAGGGTTAACTCCACTGGACGGGGGACTTACAAGTGGGTTATAACCAACAACTTACTAGCTTGGCGGAGTAGGGATGGTCATGGACCCTTTGTGAATGTGCACAAGCGCTTTGGACGATGACCACACAAGGAGTTTTGACCATGGAACATGTGTTCTGTTAAATTTGCCTGTAGAAGATATCAAACGAATACAATGGCAAAAGCTACCCCCACATAACCTGTGGCTTGAGACCTTGAAACAATACTGTGTTCCTAGCGTTTAGACTGGTTCTCTGTGACGGCTGACTGCGAGTCAGTTGTGTGTTGGATTTGCGCTGCACATTGCAGAATGCCGCATAGCACGTTGCTCAAGCACGTGCTGGGGTCATTGACGAGCAAAAGAGGACGAAGAGGAGCACAGAAAAATCAACATTGAGAGAGAAAAGCAAAACAATACTGGGTATCAAACGTAATCATAAGCAGGTACGATGATTGCACACTTGCAAGATCAAAGGACAAGACCAGTTGCTACATATTATGCAGGTGTTTGATTGCTGCACACTCATGAGAGACTCTTTAACCCTTGAGTCAGAACCCCTTCTAACGCCAAGGTTCCTTCCCAAATTTTCATGGATGTCGGGGGAAGTTGTTGGTTTCCTCCAGATACAACCAACAAGCTATTTGTGTGTGTGCTTTTTCAGAGCACCCTGTTCAGGCTGCTTCAAAAGGGAAGCCAAAAGGACAAGCAATTTTGGGTCTCTGCTAGTTTTGCCGACACACACACACCCATTTGGAACTTCAGCGTTTGCGAAGGTGTAAGGTCCTTTGCCTTGGCAACAAATTGGATTGGCCAGGTTTCCATTTCGAACAACCACACTGACAAGAACGGGCCGTTGCGTCGTTGCATTTTCAAGCGCGATGGTCAAGAAGAAGATCGATCCGGTGGATGGGTGTGCCTACTCCCTGGCAGAGCTGGAAGCTCACTATGCGAGGACCTACAAGAAGAAGGACAGGGATTTCTCCTGGCGGCGTACAATGCCATTGGTTTTGCAGCTTCCCCAAGAAAGGTAGGCATAGCCTACTATAATTTTTCAAAACCCAAAGAAGAAACTACAAGAAGCTGGGTAATTTCGTGTGCTTTTCCACACTCGGCATGACTTTTGGTTTGAAGAGCTCTTCCTTGGGACCGAACTTTTGGTGCACGCAGGCGCAAATCCATGCGGCTTGGAACAGCCAAAATCGCCGCAGTTTTTGGGACCTGTGTTTCACGTACAGTCCCTCTGCGCACTCGGATGGCTCAGGGCTCAACCCTCCGAAGGCCCTTTTGGAGTGGCACGAACATTGGATCCCGGGCTTTGCCCACTGAGTGAGGGACAAACGAAGTCTTCGCTTCAAGTGCAGTTCCCGTTTGCAATTATCGCAGCGGCTGACAAATTAGGCGCATTAAGCGTGAGTCATTCCCAAAGCCCTAAACTCAGATGTTCAGTCTAGCCCTGGTTTTCCGTGCAAACACAGTCGAATCTTCGTGAGTGGGGTCTGACTTGTATACTTGGAAGCAGGTGTCCACCTTCATGATTGTTGGGAAGATTGTTTCCCTCAAATCGACTTGGCGTGTGACTTTGATGCTGACTCGGGGTGTCTTTGATGGTGCCCACATGCTTAGGGACCTTTTCCAGAGAGGGTCCGACATCTCCTAGAGACATTCCAGGACCCTCAAGCAGCCCCCCAAGCAGTCGGGAGCATGGCGTTGGTAGAGTGGGAGAGAAGCTGTGGAAGTCGTCCCACACCTGCCCACATCCGTGACTCAGAGGGGCCCCCACAGAATCAAGAAATGGGAACCCTGAGAAAGGGGCCAGGGCTGTTCAACCGCAGTGGTCATTGTCTAGTGATTCATAGTCAAGGGGATGGGAAGATGATCGCCTTTGACGGGTTTTAATGGCTGTGACGAGTGGTCACGAACAATCAACTTGAGATAATTCGGCCCTTACCATCTCCTTACTATCTAAGTTAACATATGGCCCCCTACCATGCCTCAGCATGTAAGCTCTCATGGCGTTCTGGCAAGGATATCCAGAAGTACTGGGAGACAGACTGCACGCCCGCACCGAGCCGGGGTCCCAGCGAAGACCGCGTCGCGGAGGGGGTGGGGTGGGGTCGCTGGCGTTGGGGAGAAGCCCCAGTGGTGCACAGGGGGAGATTGTCAAACATATGGCTGTTTGTTGAACCCCGGTGCCGCATTGCGCGGCCTTGTTAAAGGGGCTACCAAAATGGGCACCCATTTTTTTTTTGGCATCCCCCCCGCCACATTGTCAAGGTTCACAAAATCTGGCTCAGCGAACATACTACGTTCGCTTCGTGCAGCAAAAGCTGAGGAAGAGAGGTCCTCAGTTGAACTTCGTTCTCATGTGGCAAGTAATTGTGCCTCCACCAAAGCGGGGTTGGGTCTTGTCCATATCGCAGGCAAGCCAACAATACAAAACATTGAACTAGCCACAAAGCGTGATGGATTCCAAAGAGCTCGGAGAACCATGAGGAGGTATCAAACTGCAAGGGAAAGTGCGAACATCGGAACAGGAGCCGCTGTTTTTGCTTCGGTGTCAAAGGGAATCCTAAGTGACATGCTGAAACCGCCATGTCTAAAGGGGGTTGGAATCCAAGTTTGCACCAGAGGCCTGTTTTTGTTTAGTCGTTTTCTACATGTTCGTCAGGATTCTCCCAACCAAGCTGGCTATGTTTCAAGACAATTTGCCCCCAAAAATCAGCCTTCCTCAAATTGGTGGTTTGGAATGGTGGTTTGGTTAGGGGTGGGTTTCCATCTACCCTCTGCAAGGGCTGGTTCAATCCAAATCCAAACCACCAACCCACGCCACAAAGCAGTCATAAGGTGAAGCACTGGACTGGTTCAAATCACCGAATCATTAACCCAAGCCACAAAGCAAGGATCAGGCGAAGCATCGCTGGACCCAAGACCCCTCTCACTTCCGACTGCAGCCTTCGTCAGGCGAGGCGTCGCCCAAGGTAAAGGCGAAGGCGAAGGCCAAAGGCCTGGCATTTTTTGAGTTGGTTCCCTTGTGTTGTGGCTTTAAGGGGAAACCAGCAGGAATAAAAGCACTATTTTGGGGTCCACTAACAAAAGACACACCCACATGGGAATTTGCTTAAGTATGTATTTGTTATTCCTCCCTGTGGGTGTTGTGAAAGGCACTCAATTTCACTACTGGATATATATATATATATACATAGCTTTTCTCCGGGGTACTTGTGCAAATGGAAGGAAGCCAACAGGGGATGGATGAATTGCAGCACCCAGATTCCAAGCTCCACCTGGGTGAAGTTTGGTGTTCTGTCAAAATGTCCTGATTTGTTTGTGGTCCATTTCGGAGGGCCGTGGAGACCTCTAAATGTCCAACAACGACCCTCAAGTTTCCCACGGAACCCAGCGGGCAATTCTGCTCAATTTCTCACGTTCTAAGGAAACACAGAATTTTCCTCGTGGCTCTCTGACCCAAAGAAAGCTGACAGGACTGGCAGGCTCTGGCGGCAATGGATTAGAGAGCCACCCGGGGATAGTTGGGCCTGCAAGTATCCAGTAGAAAACGGAGTGCTTCCCTTGGGGGTTTCCCCATTATAGGCCTTCGATAGTTTCTTACCTGTAGATGTTACCATGTTTTTTTTCTTCTTTTTTTTCTTCTGGGGATAGCATGGCTGCTCACCGCGCCCACCTGGGAGAAGTTTGGCGGAATCATGACGCTGGTGAGCATGCAACCCAGGAACCCCCCCCTCTCTTGCATTTTCCAGTGAAGGGCGGAAAGTTTGAATGATCACCTGTTCCAACTTCAATCTGTGTGTCCTGTTGGTGTGACTTGTCAAGGGGAATTATGAGCGTGTCTTAAAATAGGGTCCCACCCCCGATTTTGGCTTCCCGATGGTTTCTGCTCTTAAACCAACTCAAAAGGCGGTTCACCTAAAAGACGTGCCGTCAGCAATGGAATGGATCACACTCGGAAAGTGTGTTTTTTTTTTATCCTTTTGCGCGGGTTCATTGCTTCCCAACCTTGAAGATCACTTTAGCGACAATCAGTTTAGACTTGTCTTGGGCAATCCACTTAAGTGACATCAATACTGCCGGCTTGACCTTTCTTTCTTATGGTCGCTGGGGTAGATGTTATTGACTCGGAGAAACGGTTGCATTTGGCTACGAGTTCAAATGAGTCGGACACCCTCTAAACAAGGTTGGCGGACATACAAATCCCCATGTAGGTGTGTCTCGAAATAGGGGTGTGTCTCGAAATAGGGGTGTGTCTCGAAATAGGGGACCCGCAACAAATTGTGGTTTCCCTTTGGCCTTGCTGTAAACAACACGTGGAAAAAGGTGCCCTCGAGAACCGACGCCCTGGCAAAACCTCCCGAGCCCTGTCCCAATTTCCGACACGTGTCTGACGGTCGTTGGCTTGTTAGTGCTTGGGCCCCAAACTGCACGCTGCTGTTGCACCGTTCTGGCTCAAGGCCCCTTACTTGGGACGCTGTAGTCCAAAAGACATTGCCGATGTCCACTCACGTTGAAACATCGTAACCATTGTTCCCTGCTCAGGTGAGGCCTCGAAGCCAGCAGCGAAGGAAGGTGGGCCCTCTGCGTAGAGTGGCGGGTTCAATGGTTCTGGCGCTTTCTCTGAAGAATCGCGGAGTCTCCTCCAAATCTATGTTTGGTCTTACATAGAATAGACATGAAGCAGAAGCTAAACATGTTGCATGTTTTTGTTTTGTACCCCGGCGCGGGCCAAGAAATGAGTGTGTCTTTGTAGGGGTATCCCCTTTTGAGGTTGGTGCAAAGGGAAGTAATGTTGGAGAGTGATTAATAAAGGGCCCCCCCCCCCTCCGCCCCCCCTCCCCCCCCCCCTCAAACGAATTGGGGGGGTCAATAGCGACAACCCCAAAAACAAAATTGGGGTCAGACTGGGACCTGCCTGAGTAGTTTTCCAGTAAGTATTGTTTAGAATTGGTTTAGTATTGGTTTAGTATTCCTTTGAGCTGGCTCACTACGGTTTAGAATTGGTTTAGTATTGGTTTAGTATTCCTTTGAGCTGGCTCACTACGGTTTAGGATTGGTTTAGTATTAGTTCAGTATTCTTTTCAGTTGACTCACTACAGTTTAGAATTGGTTTAGTATTGGTTCTTCTTCTTGGCAGGCTGCCCTGGCCATTTTTTTCCACAATTCCCCACCCTTAAACAAACTGCATTATTGCCTTTCTGTGCCACCCCCTTGAGAATTTGTCCGGGTGCATCTTCTAGTAAAGGGATTGATAAGGAATTTGGTGGTTTGGGACAGGAAGCAATCCAGAGATTCTGGACATTTCTGGCCTCAAATGTTTCAGCCCTCAAAAATAGTCCATTCTTCTAGCTTGTCTTGGAAGGGAACATATTTTCGGGATTTCGGGCAGTTTTTTTTTCTGTAATACCTACCCTTGTTGCTTTTCAGGAGAGTGAATCATTTTGATATTTTTTTCTGTATTCGCTCCCCCGTTATTAATCGCTATCTAACATTAAAAGGAAGTCGGCAAGCTTCCTCCAAGTCTGACCAAATCCAAATGGAATCCAAGTGATCTCAGACGACTCGAGGCCTGAGCTGAGCATTTTCGTTGGTCGTGGGAACTGACTTGGCGGAGTACCTCAACATTGGCGAGTGAAGCTGTTTGAGTTTCCTACTCTGCCAAACCTTTCTATTGAAACACTGATCACCATACTGGGCATCTTCGACTCCTTGTCTTAGTCAGCAAAACTTGTTCAGGCTCTGTCCATGCATGGTCTCACAAAGGTCACCTTGTTTCCCGATGCTTTGGGCAAGCAAGTTGTGTTGTCCGATTCAGATCTCGCATTCCGGTAAGAAGCTGTCCCACCACGTCTAGAAGTCTCATTTCAGCTTGTGCTGTGACAAGCCTCGAGCGTTTAGCGCGTAGGTTTCGCCGCTGTCAAAACTCAGCGGAGACTGACTAAGCATGGCTGCACTCGCATGCCAGGTGAAGGCGAGGCGAAGACCAAAGGCGCGGGCTGGGTGTCGGCTGCCGGCGGTTCCCAGCCATATCCTTCCACCTTTTAGAGGCTTCGAGGGATTTATGACTTTTAGCAAGGGACCGAGCCAATCCACCACCATTTTCATTTTGGAATCTCTATCAAGGGCCTTGGAATCTCTAAAATGCCCCCCCCCCCGCCTGCTTGGTTTTCACTTTTTATGTTGCCCCTTCCGGGTGTAAAACGCGGGGTCTGGTTCTCTCTTCGTTTCCCCCGAGGTGAGGAGAAACAAGCGGCGCCGGTGTTGAGGCGCACAAGATCCTGGCTGAAAAAGGCGGGGCGGCACGATCGGTGCGGTCGGGGCGCCGAAACCTAATTGACTCAGGTGTTCAGTGGCACCCTTTTTCCCTTTTTTTGGTGGCTGCCCCACTAAAAATGGTCTTCCCAACAAAGGGTCCCCTTTTCTTCCAGGGTCACTGAACAACTGAGTTGAACAATATTCCGGTTTTGTAAATCCCCTAAGAATTTGCACAACCCAAAGATAGACTCGCGAGCGAGCTTCATGGACGCCATTCCCAGGGTATAGCATTTTGGGTAGGACCCTATCTGTTCTTGGCGGTAATATTGTCGACTACATGTGTGGTGTGTCAAAACAAAGGAGCCCCCGAAGGAATGGGGTGCTTGTTTTTTGTTCCAGCCCAAAAGGGGTATTGGACCCGGTGTTGGCTCTGAATTGCAACAGGGATGTAACAGGGATCACCCTCCGACACGAATGGTGGACATTGATCCATGTTCGCCAAGAAGCCCCCAATCCCAATTCGCACCCCTCTCTTCCTCTTCTGCTCCGTGGGAACACGCGCAAGCAAACATGTGTTGTGGCTGGAACTTGTTCTTTCTTCCAACATGTTTTTGGCCAGGCGACTTGTGGAACATAGTCAGAAGATATGGGTGTGTCGGTTTTTAGGGGACTCCAAATTGTTGTCCTTTTGATTTCCCTTTAGAACCCGCAAAAGATACCCTCGAAAAAGACACACCTGTATTTGTTTGAGGTGCTTCTTCAGGCCCCCTTTTGATGTACTTGGTCGCACGAAAAAGCCCGCCGGCAAGCCAGGCGGCTCCAGGCTTGTTCAGGCAAACGGATTTGCCAAGACAAGCGGGGTCCGGGATTTTACCCAGCCAGCATCGTGCTAGGGAATCTGTTTCATCCACAGGACAGGTTTGTTAGATTTTGCCTCTTTGTGTTTGCTCTTGCTTTTCGTGTTTCCTTTGCTTGTTTGCTGTTTGATTTTGCAAAACAGAGACATAAACGTTCAAGGCATTTTTGGTTCCCTTTCCTTGGAGTTTGGTGGGATATTCACTTGCCGTCTAAGATTTTGTCAAAATGTCCAGTAGTCTATGATCCATTCATGGAGTAAGTCACGGGAAGTCACTGAATTTCTGAATATCAACCGCAAGCACCTGGGGATCTCATTTGGGCACATGTGCTCCTGGAAGAACCTGGGTAATTTTGGCCCCGGTTTCCCTTGGTGTTCGGTGGGTTGCTTCGGACCTTCCGCTCCGAGGTCTGCGGTATTGCACTGCTGCCATGCGAGGAGCGGCGCCTGGTTTTGGGCGGGAGAACTCGGACACCACGCGGTGCAAGACCACGGGCCACATTGGTGGCGGCCACATTTGTTCAACACTTCGTTGAAGCAGTACATCCACGACCACAAATTGGATATGTTCAAACTATATTTGGGGCTCTCATGTGTTTTGATCTAGCCGTACCTCCCATGGGTGTGGAAACTGAGGTTTTGGTGGTTCCGTATAAAGTGACAAAGCTATCATAGGGATAGTCTGTTATTTACCGCAACCATGTGTCTTGCCCAATCCGTTCAGAGCCGAATTCAGAAAAAGCAAAACCTGGCAACGACTGGTGGTTTTTGAAGAGAGTTATAGGTGACAAAGTAGGAACCCTCCTTTTCGGATGGTTTCAGACAGAAACCAAGTGGACAACAATTTGAGATGCACTCAAGAATCTTTCCTGAGGGGTGGGGCCTGTGTTTTTCCTCTCCGCACAAACAACCAAGTCACTGTTTGAATGTGCCGTGCTGCAGATCGTTGGGGGTCTATGCTACAGTTTTCGGTTAGATGGGCGTAACCTGGAATACTACTTTTGGTTGGGGAACAAAAGCTGCGGTAGAATAGAGCCTCGAATGAACTCGTTTGAGAAAAGTTACGTTCGTCTCTCCAGAAAATCACCCAAATCTGGGGGAACGGCTTGTTAAAAAGAAGGATTGTTGGAAAACATGGGAATCGAATTCGATTCAAACCCATTCGGGGTGAATTGGTCTTTGTTTTGTTGTTAAGTTTGTTGGGGGGAAAGAGCTGAGCTAGAATAGACCCCGAAAACCAACATTGGTGTCTTTGTTCGCGGAACCCCCTTTTGGTTGGTTTTAAAGGGAAACCAACGGGACCACCTCTATGTTGGGGGACCCCTAAAAAGACACCCCAATATAGAAGCTGGAGGTCAATAACAACAATTGAAGCGGACCCCATTTCTGCCAGGTTTAACCCTGGGACTCTTTGCACTTTAAAACACATATACAAATTTCACCGCTTCAAACAAACAACAAAAGATGGGAAAAACACGACAACCCATATACTCATCGACCCCAAAAAGGGTTTTTCTGTTTTCGTTGGCGAGTTCCAACGGATCAGACAGGGAGCCCCCGCGCCAGGAGCAGCTGGCGCCGCTGCTGGAGCAGCACGCGGCCGCGGAGAAGGCCGAGGACTTCGCCCGAGCGGAGGCGACTCGACTCAGATCGCTTCGCAGCCGGAGCCGGTGGATCGATTCAGAAGGCAACGGACGAAACGGGCGAGGGAGAGCACAGAAGCATTGGGGGGGATACAGCCCAAGTAAGAAACTCATGTAGCTGTGGTGGGTAACCAGTTCCATCCCATGTACCCCATGGACAATCACGTTCAATGGCATCGGAAAGGAGCCATTCAGGGTAATTGGGGCTCTTCAGCTGCCTATTTGATGGGACTCTACGTATCCCTGGCTCCTTGGCTCCTCCAAAGTCCATAGATGCAATGACTGCCTGCAGTGTGACCCCGGACTCCTAAGATTCATGATGCAGGTCTGAGGTTCAGTTCGGGCATGGGGGTCACTCAATAACTCACACAAACACCGAGGGGAGCCAGCCTACAATTAATGGGGTCCACAGCTCACTGATGTGGGGATTTGGGGATGAAGGTAGGCAGTCCACGGGGGCTTTGCCATACATACATAGGTGTGTGTGTGTGTGTGCGTGTCAAAATTGGCTGAGCCCCAAATCATTGGGTTCTGACAAACAGGGAATGGGACCAAAACAGCTATAAATGCGGAACCAGTCCTGACCCACGCACGCCATGGCTTGGTGCTACACCAGAGCATGCGGTCAATATGTGGGTGTAGCAAAAACCAGTGTGCCTCACAATTTGCAGGCCTGGCGTCATGTGGCTGTCATCCGTATGTGCAACCTGAAGTCGGGATTCCAACACGCCAAGCTCGGCGAAACTGCCGCCGCGTATGCTGGCTGTAAGCTGGCCACACTCACGCCAGCTATGCGTGGGTGTGTGCTCGAGGCTGCAGCGAGAGGATTTCTGATGAAACTTGAGCCGAATTCGATCATGTTGGACCCAGTTCCTGGTGAGAAGTGTGATGGCACAAGGCGAGCCGTCAATCAGGCAGAATATGACTGGCTTCACGACGGCCGAAGGGTTCAATGCAAATCAACTCAATTATCTTGGAATGCTGCACGCAACGGATGGCGAGCATGTTTTCGAAAGATCAAGCCAGAATTGTTGGATGAGCTTTTGCTCGTCCTTTACGTTCCAGGTCAGCTGCTATTCTTCCGGCATGACTGCAAGACTGGATTGTCCAGCAACGGGCGCGCAACAGCTGCAACAGGAAGCTTCATGTTTGTCTATGCACCACAACGAATGCAAAGTATTAGCTCTGCCAAGGCCTGCATTATTTCGAAACTGAGGAGTTCACCTTCGTGCACTTTCCTAGGTGTTTTGGATACTTGCAGTGAGCTGGTTTGCCAACTTTTGCACACAAATACCTCGTCTGAAAAGATGCGGCTTGAACAGGAAGCATTTCATTGTCACCCTTTGGGACTTGACCACCCTCCTCCTGTCCGGGGCATTCTGGTCCAGAACTTAGTGCAAGAAGTTGACTCGATACTGCATCCTGACACCTGTATCAAGGGTGCGAGAAAAGACTCGCCGCATGATTGGTGCCGCGATGAGTTGCGAGTCGAGTGCAAGCACACTCGAATGGCGTGGACCCGACGCCGCTGGGTATGTAAATTTTCTGGAATAAAGCATGCGCACTTCGACATTCTCTACTTGGCAGTAGATAGCCCAACAGGCCTGCTGGTCGTCGAGTTTCGAGGAGCTAAGTTCCTGGGGTGCACTGGCATCAGTCAAGAAGTGAACGGCAAAAGCATTGAGATCGCAGCGCCTGTAGGCAAGATGCAATGGTCTGAGGCCGTAGATACTATGATGCAGAAGCTGGTGGCCGCAGGGAGCACGCATGTGGCAACAGTGGTGTGGTAAACAATAAAACATCCAGCTGCAACTTGCTCAGCTGCGCCTTAGAGTGCAGCAGACCAAAGCTGCACGGAGACGAGTGTGGCTGGCGCGATTTCTTGGGGGACTTTCCTGCAAGAGAACGTATGGGACGTCTCAGGGCATGTGCCACTCTTGCAGACCACACAGTTTGCAGCCAGAATGTGCATCCACGAATTCTCTTGGAGCACACTTGGGTGTGTCCTTTTTTGAGGGTACCCATTGCTTGGGGATTTTCAAGGGAGTAAAGCCAGACACTCCCACTTGTGTTGTACAATGCGTGTGCGGGCCATTATTTGAGAAGGGCGCTACCATGCCTAGCAAAAAACGCGACAGGGCTGAAATGTTGGGGAACATACCCCACCATGAAAGCGCGTGAGCATGAAGCGTGCCGTTTGCGGCCATGTTTGTCTTTCCTGCGCAAAGGTTTGTTGTTGGAGGCCACCTTACACAGGGCTCCTTAAAAGATACATTTTGCGCATTTGAAACATGGTGTTTCCATCAAAATAAAGGGAAACCACCATTGACAAGGCAATGTTCAGGTGTATAATGTAAGGATCCCCGTTGCAGTTTGGCTCTGCTTCCAAAGCAAACACAGCCCCTCGCCAACGTGCAAAGGGTACCCTCCAAAAGCACAAGCCCACATTGACATGTGTCTTTGTATATGGAGCTTTGGCGAGGAAGGAATTTGGTCTGACGTTATTTGTTTAGGGCCTGGAACAAAAGTCAACTCCATGGAGGTGGCCACTTTCTTGAATCTCCAGTTCCGACGGATCCCCCTTGGTGGGCAAATGAAAACTAAACCCTAAACAGGTTGTATCAGTTCTAACAAAACGGGTTCCAATCGCTTGCGCCAAAGAACACTCGTGGGTGCGGCACCCTAGACTCCACGCATTTACGGTCAAAGTTGTGTCATTAGGGGCCCTCATGATGCATTTTGCAAAGGTGTAAAATGCCAGGGTGCTGGGTGACAGGGGCTTCGCAAACGGATATATGTATGTGTGTGCTGTGCATCTGTGAAAATGTATATACAATATCAATACATGTCATGTGATACTGGTTGTCTCGGCTACTGGCCATCAACCCAATTCGTCAGAATGAACCTTGTTTACCTGCACTCTTTTAGCGAGATGGATCAGTCATCATGAGGGGAACAAAACAGAGTGAACCGATGGCCCCACCCTCACAACCAATATGGGCGTCATTTGGGCGCGTGTGAAAGAAGGAGAAACTCCCACCAATCAACATGGAACCTGACAGGCGCTTCCACGATCATTTTCCTTTTAAAGGGACCCCCTGGCAGGTTTCATGTCAATTGGTGGTTCTGCACCCATATCTGTCGGCCGTTCAGGCGGTGCAGCTGGAGCTGCTGCGAGCGCACCCCTTCGTGACGCGCCAGGCCAAGGAGGCCGTGCTAAGCGCCCAGCGAGCGACGAGCGAGCGCCTGCGCAAGGTGGTTTGACCTGGCCCGGTGATTCGGTTGCCTTGGTTTTGTAGGTAACCAAGGGACACCAAGTGCAAATGGCTGGTTAAGTTCCCCGTTTAGTAGGTGACCCAGGGCTTGCTAAACCAAGAGGACATACATGACTGGTTACCTACTATGGCTTACCTGGGATCAACTCAGTTGGTTTTTCAGGCCTCGGTTTTCCAGATTGCAGGACTCCGGGACCCGAACTCAAAAGCACTGGGTAGTTGCCCGTTGGTTCAATGAACATGGCCCCGTTTCAAAGGAATCCAAAAGAAGTTGTTTCGATTGTGACGTAAAGATGTTTAAACAGGGGAAGTCCCACTTCCCAATCCTGGAGTTTTTACGTGCTTCGCCAAGCAGGTGTCCCCCAACAAAACAATGGACACATGAGCACGTAACATGCTCCTTGATGCGGGGGCAACAAGGGCAATTTACCCCATGATGAAGGTTCCTTATTTGGAGGTTCCTGATTCCTGGTTGCACTCACTCCCTGAGTTCCCGGACTTTATGCCTTATTGGAAGACTACAATACTATTTTAGTGGTCAAATTGGTAAACAAAAAGTTGCGCCGATTTTGCCCAATCCACTCAGGAAGTGTTCATCATTTCACATTACCTCAATTGTTAGGGGGTGGTTTCCCATTTGCCCTCCGCAAAAGCAAGGGCTTCAAATCCCCAAGCCACCAATCCAAACTTCCTATTTTTTAGTGTCTTCCGCCTTTTTCTTTGGCCAGTCGGCTCAGCAGGTCAGCCAAGCCTGAGCACTAGAGCGGAAAGGGTTTACCTCAACTTTTCCACTACAAAGGATGAATGCTGCCTTACAAACCCTTATTGGTAATGCATGAGTTTCCTAGAAACCTCCGAAACACAACCACACATGGTGTTCAAAAAGCCCCCAACACCCCATATTCCCAGCCTCCACGCCCCCCATAACGGAAAATGGTGTTGACCCATGCAGTTCATCAGTCGCCCAGTGGGCTCCCCACTAAGAAGCTGGAATGCAACGCCCAAAAGGAGCTCCATGGTTCTGCCATGGGGTCACTGATTGCCACTGGGGTAGGTCAACTCTTCCGTTTCTCGATGTGTCGCAGGTGCCCACAGGGGCCGTGCCGGCAGATGTGACGGTGGAGGCCGTGCCGATTCGCAACTGGCGCCCGATTCGGGACCTCAAAGCCGTGGGAATCGGAGCAGTGGCTTCAAGGTAACTTTTGACTCAGATTTTGATATGGGGGCGAATTTTTAATTAGGACGCTCTGGTGGACATCATGGGGATTCATGTTCACCAACCACTTTTGTGAGGGGGTTGCCACTCTTAAAACTCATAGCCACATTGCTGGGAACCTCGGATGTAAGCACACCTCCTGGTTTGTAAAAAGCGGGCATGTCCCCTTTTGGGGGGATTCATCACTTTTGGAAAGGACACACACGCACACACACACACAGACAAAAAAAGCAGCTTTATTAACCTGGGGTCTGCACAAACAACATATTGTCCGTTTGGTGTCCCACCTTCTGCGGATCAAAGGCCACAGTTCGCCAAGTAAGAAAGGCAAAAGCAAGGACATTGCTGGTCACCTATAGTGGCCTGCCTGGGATCCATTGTTTTTGTTTGTTGTTTTCTTCTTTTTCCGGTGGGTCTCTTTTGGTTTTCCTTTCTTCCAGGCGCGCCAAGATTCACATCAGGGATCCAGCCGGTGTCTCACTCCCCTTTTGTTCCCGGACTTGAGTCATTTTTGGGCAGCCCACGAGAAAGTGCAAGCAACAAGTCTGCGGACCTTTTGGGCCAATCCACGTCGAACAACGAGGGGATGCCTTGGGTGACTCGTGCCGATTGATCCGATTCGCAGGTGGACAATTTCCGGCTCTCCGTGGGGAAGTTCCGCTCCTGGCTGAAGACCTCAGAGCCTCGGATCGGAGTCGAAGCAACTTCATGGGGGAAGGGGAGCCCATCCATTTGAGGAAAAATAGAAAAAACATACCGGGGCTTGCCTGCTTTTGTGATAGCTGGCGATTCAGGCACTCCTTCATTGGTGGTTTTGGGGTGGTTTGGGGTGGTTTGGGGTGTTGAAGCTGGCTTTTGCAGAGGGTAAAGCTTGCTTTGGGAGTAGATGGCGCAATTCCAATCCATGGTTTCAGCACCTACAATAAACTCACCAGAAATCAATTGTGGGTGGCATCTGCTTTCACTTTTTATAGTTGGGAAGAGAAATCATGAAAAGCCTAGAGGTAAAAATGCCAAAGGGCTACGGACTACAATGGTGGTTTGCCTGGAAGCACTGGGAAGGATTCGAATCACTAAGTTACCAAATTTCCAGGTTCTTTGGAATAAATTGACACTGGATTTCGGTCATTTGGGTGTGTCTCACAAATCTGGACTGGCCCCTTAATAGGACGGACTCTGCAGGGCAAACAAAATCAAATCAACCCGATGACAGTGTCCATGCTGGGGTTCTTTTCAAGGGACACAACCCCTTGAGAGACAACCCACAGCATCCCAGTTTAATCGGGACATGGGTTCTACTACACGGGTTCCGATTTCTTACACAAAGGACAATCATATGTGTAGCATCCATTTGCAACCCTTTCTTTTGAATCCATTTAGGGTCGCGCCCACGTGGACAGCTGCCCATCTCTTGCTGGAAAAAATCCCAGGACGGCCGGCCGTTTGAGGAGAGCCTTAGCTTCAAGCTGGGGTCTTTAGGCGCTCGGGGCGGGTTGAGTCATGCGAGCAGCGCCCAAAACCACCTGGTCTGAGAAGGTGATCATACTACCTGGATTCATGGGGGCAAGAACCCCGTGTGGCAAATCATGAAATTTCTTTGTCAGGGGCCTCGATGAGCTCTGACCAGGGCATGGCCGGGGGGCTTTCTTTGTTTTGGGCGGGGATTGACAGCCGTTGGCGGTGGCGGTGGTGGTTGTTTGTGGTAGTGACCTGAGCTTTTATCATGGCCCGATTGTTTGGTGGGTTCTCCTTTGCAACTGGACCCCTAGAATGAAAATGGTCAAGCCCAGAAAACATATCAACCCTAGATCGGAGCCAGCTTTTTGATGGTTTGCACGGAGAAACCAAAAGAAGCCACCCCCTTGCAGCTCCTGTGTTAGGAGAGGCCTAATCATGGTTCCACTAAAATAGTCAGCCCACTAAAATAGTCAGCCCCGCGAAAAATGGTCAGCCCCACGAAGAGTGGTGCCCCAAAAAAGAAAAGGCCCTTCTTCCCAGCGTCACCGAGCAACTGGGAGACGCCAAAAAAGACGAGGAAAGGCAAGGGCTTCGACGACGGCCTCTACTTGACCTCAGGCCTCTTGCGCAGGTTCCTACCCAGGCACGTCTCTCGCGCCGACAGATCGAGATCTTTGAGCGAACCGATTCGCTACAAGGATTTGGGCTCCCAAAAGAAAGTATCGCTTCCAGTTCCTGGACTTCAACATTCTCCTTGGGATTTGTTCTTGGCAAGCGAACAGTTTGGACCTTTGGCCCAATCCAGGCCCAGTGAAAAGGCGACTTTCCCTGTGGCTTCTTTTTGATTATCGCCTGAAACGGGGCACTCTCAACGGAAAGTTGCTTTTTGAGGGCTGGAAACAACCCGTTGGGTTCAATCAAAATGACCAGTAGTTGGTTCCTCGAACAACGGGAAACCCCTTCAATCATGAGGACCGTACCAATCCGGGGCCCTTTTTATACTAAGGAAATCATCTATTTTAGGTCTGACCAGTACGGTCCTCCGGACACCATCTGAAGTCCAAGAAAGTATTCCAAGGCAATCGGCCAACGATTCCGCCAGGGGCTACACCCACTTCTGCTTCTCCAAAGCAGGGCAGCAGGAGACCGTGGTGCTACGCGGCTTTCTGAAGTTCACAGGCTGGGCATCCGAGATAATTCGATGCCGCAGCCCCGCATTCGGTATATATTCGGGTTTCATGGGGGTCGGAAAGCGGTCAAGGACAAAACAAGCCCTGGATTTATGCTTTCTTGGCATTTCGAGGCATTACCTTGTTTGCTAGTGTCATATGAGGAATATCTTCATTAAGCATCACCTGTTGAAGGCATGTCTAAGTGATATGTTGTTTGGCGGGTGGTGATGTTGGAAGGGAACTCGTGTTTCGGATCTCGAGGTCCCTGGATTTCTTGAGGGCAAATCCAGACTGGGATCTTGATGAATTTTGAGCAGCGCATCAGGATTGTTTTATGAAGCCTCGATCTTTTCTGTAGTCTCCTCCAGAAAATATGTCAGGTTTGAAGGCTGACGAACTACATACTCACTTGTTCATACCAATTCTGGTTCTCAGTCACGGCCCCAAAGGCGACCTTTTAGTTGGCTGAGAGTATGACCGACAGTCTAAATTCGCGATTTGGTGCACCTTGGGGGTGGGCCCAGAAGAGGGGGCATCGTTTGCGCCAAATGAATCTGTTGTGTGACCGCAGTGGACACCGTTTCTGTTTCTGGGGTGGTTGTAACCGGGTTAGATGTAGATCGACATTTTGATGGAGCGTGGCTTCACAAGGTCACCAGGGGGGCACTTGACACTCACCGGGAAGTGTTCTTAATGCCACCATGGAGAGTTGTTTGGGGCCTCCGTGGTATGTCAAGACCCACGCGTTCTGACACGGCGACCTTTCATAAGGGATACTACATGCCTGTTTCCTTTCTTGCTGCGGCAGAGTCCTTGCCCCCTCCAAATCCTTTGCCAGGCTAGACTATGGTGCCGTGGAACCGGAAACGTTAGGCAACCAAAAGTATCTTGGTCCCACCCGCCCAACAGACACGGCCTTCACATTGTGTTTCGAGGGCGCCAAGTGGGCGTGGCTCAAAATCCTCTGAGCCCGGGGACCGCAGGTTTACCAGGGTTCCATTTTGCGCCCCTCTTGAGCCACACACATGTGGTTGTGTGTGTGTGTGTGTTTTTTAGGGGACACCCCCAAAGAGGGTGGTTTTCGTTTTAGCTTCCTTATAGAGCCACCCCGAAAAGGGGTAGCCTCACAAAAGGACGAGCCACGTGAATTTTCCGCTTCGAAGTCGTTCCGTTTGCCCCTGAAGCGAGGCCTCACTGCTCAGGATGAGGACGAGGACTGTTGGGTTCGATGCCCCGTAAGAAATTGGTTTGAGCCATAGGTGTCCTTTTTAGGTTAGTTTGGCTAGAAATAGATGGGTTCGACTGGTTTACATTGGTGTTATTCCATTTGCCAGGAACACGGAACCCAATAAAGGGTCCATTTCCTCTACACATTATGGTGGATTGGGTTCCAAGGCAATCTGCAGCGGAGTACGTTGACTTTATTCCACACAACTTGGGGGGGTGATTTCGATGGTAAAACAATGAGGTCAACTGAACCACAATTGTTTCGACAAACTCGGCTCATCTCTGGGGTCTCCAAAACCCATTCGCTTTTTTTGTGGTAGACTTGATATGGCACAGAATCTTCACGCGGGTCTGTGTTTTTGTTTGAGGGTGCACCAGTTTTGGTGGTTTCAAAGAAACAACAAGAGGAAAAGCACCATTTTCGGGGGTCCACTGAAAGAAAACACCATAACATGACCATATCTATCTGTTTATTTGGAATTTTGGAGTACTTGTTGTTGTTGTCTTTTTTTTTGGCGGGGGGAACAAAACACCATGTCTTTTTTGCTTGGAGCGCCCCTTGGCGGGCCAAAGGGGCACCATGGCCTTCTTCGCAGGAGTCCAACGCCACTGCAGAGGCTAGCGCCTTCCTCTTCCACGGGCGCCTCGTCTGCGGATCGCTTCCCTTGAAACGAAAAAACAACGGCGCGGAGCCACAAAGAGCGAGAATGCCATCGGCACCCGGGGCTGGGGTTTTGGTTTGGGGCTGGGGGTTTAGGGTTGGGGTTTGGAGTTTCTTGTTTCTTTTGATATGATGTGTATAAATATATATATATATAGACACATGTCATGGTATCATTTACATATCGATTAGACAATACTTAAATAGGTACTTGGTACTCCAAGGGTTTATATAGTGGTACTGGGTACGGGATGGTTTGTGCGGATGTTTGTCTAGGGTATGTATCATCACCTACACAAGGTTGACACGTAGCCCAGTGCTTCCAGTACTAGGTATACCCCACTTATAAGTCCCCTTAGTGGGGTTAGTCCTGCTATTTGTGGGTTATAACTGAGTAGCTAAGTACTTGCCAACTTGGCCGAACATCCAAGTAGGTAACCAGGATACTCTATCATATCTTCAGCTTCCCTTTGATTGGTTCCAGACAAGCCACAATAGAAGGGAGCCGGGATATTCGAGCAAAGCCCGAGGCAACATGCCTGGTTACCCTACAGTGGATCTGGAAGCACCGCATATCCTGTTTGCCCTGGTCTCCTTTCGGGGCTCCTTCATGTTTGTTGTCACTTTTAACCTGCAAACCATTGTTGCTTTTTGCAAAGCGTGAAGTCGAATCAGTTTGGCCCAGTCATGTTGGCCTCTGATTAGGGGGTGGGGGGGGTGGGGGGGAGGTTTTTGAGCATGGCCCTCCGCCGTTTTGTAGCGGTTCCTTGTTTGGAAGCCCAATGTGGGTGTTGGGGTGGTTTCCCTTTGATTTCCCTTCAAGACAAGCACCAAAGGGTACCCTCAAAAAAATACACACCCATATATCCTCCTTAACCATCACAAGTAGAAACTCGGCCATTGGTCCAAGTAAGCTTCAAGGCTTAGGGACATTACAGGGACTGTGTCAAGTCCCATGCATCCCTAAGATTTCCCGGGGTCGCTTGTAGGTACTCCATGGAGGATGCCCAGCGATTCCTGGTGACCACCAAGAGC